TATTATTATTATTATTATTATTATTATTATTATTATTATATTTTTATCCCACCTTTTTAAAAAAATATATTTTGGTCAGCTAAGGTGGCAAACATACTTAATACTCCTGTCTCCTCTTTTCCCCACAACAACAACCCTGAGAGGTGTGTTGTGCTGAAAGAGAGTGACTGGCCCCAAGTCCCCCAGCCGGCTTTCCTGCCTAAGAGGGGCCTAGAACTCACAGCTTTCTGGTTTCCAGGCCAGCACCTTCGCCACTGCACCAAACTGGCTCTCAGTTTGCTTTAGAGGTGTTCACATCCAAACACAAAAAGACAAGAGTAAGGGAAATGGTTGGAAGAATTTACATGCCCAGGAAGGAGCTTGAGTGGGAAAAAAAGGTAAGTCGGGGAGCATCCTGCAGACAGGCCCTGCCACCTTGCAAGAGTCTACCCGGCTTTCTCAAACCTTGAGCCATGCCTGCCAGCTGCATAGCCAGGACTGCAAATATGCCCAAGCAACCCCTTTTTTTCCGCCATGGCCCCACATTGTCTTCCCAACACCCCCAGCTGAGCGAGACTGGCTTAAGTCTTCTGCAGGTGTGCTGATGTTAAAGGAGTGTTTTCTCCCTTATTCCAACACCAGCAACTTCAACCGGCTCATCCTTGCCTCCTGTTAACTATTTCCAAGGATGCATCCTCACGAGATTGCTTTCATCTCCTTCCCAGCCCAATGAAGAGGCAGCCTAAATTTATCTTCTTCCAAATACTTTTGTTGCACAAGCAATTGAAAGATACCTTATTGGCCATGCAGCTGACAGTATGCACACACCCCTCCCCTCCCATCATTGAGCACTGCCCTCCATGGTCACTTCACTTGGGCTGCTAGATCTGGCTTCTGAACAGACATTTGTCCACGTAATGCCTGATCAGGGCTCTTTGAAGCACTTGCAGATCTTACAAAGGCTCCTTATAAAGACAGATTTATCAGTCTTTTGGAAGAGCAGTAGATCCATCACTAAAAAAAATCAGTAACAATACACGTGTATGTGTCATGGCCTCCTTCCCCATGCCATATTCAGACTATCTGGGAGGGGTTGCAAGTAACATTTCACCTTCAATTAAGCTGCTGCAAACCTTAAGCAGTCCTCCCCCCCCCCGCCCTCTCCCTCCGCATTAATCTGGATGCTCTGAAAAAACTTGCTATAAAATTGATTAGAGAGGTGAAATTGATTAGTTCCATGTGGACAGAATAATCTCTCCTTCCTGAATGCCAATTCAGCTGGCACTGAAGAGTTTCAGAGCCGAACAGTTTCAAAGCTGTCAGGAGCACAGAATACCGTGACTTTGAAGCTTACGACCCCAACCGCTCCCCCCACCCCCACCCCGGTATTACCTTGAAATCGCTTAAGAATTGTAGGAGTACCTTTAAATCCAGTGATCTCCCTGGCATTAAGAAAGTTGTCATTGACAAGAAAAAGGGGAAGAAGGTGACAGACAGGCAGGCTTGTGGGCACATCCATGGAAGTACTAACTGGCTGGGACTGACATTTCATCCTGTTCTATATAACACATGTTCTTTCTGAATCCATCTCTTATTGGAACCCTCATTCCAACCTTCACAAAGTATTTTTTTACTACCAACTTCACTTTTTAAAGCAGCGGACAGATACAGGAACATGTTGCTTGATGCAGTGAGGGAGCTCTTCTCCACTTCACCTTGCAGCTCCCATCCTGGTGCCTGTCAGATTGTTTTTTCAGGCTACATCTAAATGCAGGTTTAGTGCTATTCCAGAATAGCATTAAACTCATGCCTAAAAGCAGCACACTTGTGCAAACTCAGAACCCCTTCCTAGCCCCAGTTTCCACGTTAGGAAGGTTGGTTCACGCATGTTTTTCCATCCCCAGCAGATGACTGATATGCAATGGGAAAAGAAATGAAGCTAAGGGAACCCACCAATTGCTTAATTTGTCCTGTTTAAATCTGTAAAGACACACTGCTTTTTCTGCCTCACTCCTGAAGTGCTATGGGGCTTGGCCACTGGGATAATTAAATTTGTACCATCCTACTTTTCGGTAGCCTCAAGGACCGGAGGAAAGCTCAGTAACAGCTGGGAGGAAGAGCCCAATGTTTTATAAGGGTGGTGACATGCCACCATCCATTCCACTACAGGTGAAGTTAGATGACTGGGATAGATATAAACAGAGGCACTTATTGGGTATCACCTTTCTGCTCCTTGAGCGCTGAACGAAGGCGGGTGGAATGGCAATAAAAACATTTGCTGTGCATTATTGCCAAAATCAAAACAGGTGGCCACCTGTTTCCCTCGCACTGCGCACCCCACTATGGGACTCCCTTCTCTTTCCTTGTCAGCCTTTCAGGGGGTTGGATCCCTGAAGTCAGATCCCAGCAGGACAGAGTCTCCGCAAATCCTTGCATTTACTTTGGCCAGTTTATATGTTAATAAAAAGGGTTTGGTTAGAATTACGTCAGTACTTGCTCCTTTTGTGCCTTTTCAGTTTCATTTCTCACTTTGATTCCAAAAGATGCTGGCAGAAGGGGATGGTGGGGTTGGGGGAGACAGGGAGGGGGGTTCAGCTCAATCCTCCCTGGCCAAAGTTCTTGCTAGAAAAGCACTTTCTCTCTACCCCCCAATCCCACTCCCCACTCCCTTAATGACAACAAGCTAGGATTTTTGCCATCCTCAGAACAGTTGGCTTTCTTAGCAGAGCAAATGAAAGAGTCCTTTTTGTCCAGGGGAAGTTTGCACATTGTCAAACATACAACTCTTGCCCATGAATAACCTCACATTGATGCAAAGGAGTTGCAAGAAAGGAGAATTTATGAAAAGGAGAGGCAGAAGTCATCCTTTTTTTTACTCCCTTCAGCCAAAGCAGACGAAAAGATTTATCCAGGGAGAGCATGCTCTGATGGTCAGCTCAGCAAATCCTCTTGGCACTGAGAGCGCCGCACCCGCCTTCTTGTTTAGCCAGTGGTGCGGTTTCCTCTGCTGCATTAGGCAACAATGAAGGGTGAAGGGCAGTGGGGGGAGGACCTCTGTTGATGCTTGGACCAAAAAAAGAGGCAGGGGGAGAGAATCCAGCTCTGATCTAGCAAGTCAGAGTTACCAACAACATTAATATGAGCAGGTCTGGCATGAAATGTGCATTTTTGGAGGATGGGGGGCTCCCCTTCCATTATCCTTTTTCCATTCTTGGCAAACCAGCTTTCACTGAGCCCAAGACGGGGTGCCAAAACCAAAAGATGACCGGCTTCCTGCCTACAGCCCCCTCTCCCACTGTAACCCTGCAAAATCGGTATATTTTCCCAAAGAGGGGAAAGCAGCAAAGCTGGAGGAATCTGTTGATCACTTTACTTATGGTGCCTTGTGCAGATGTAATCAGGACACCCACCCTGTGATAAGCCAGGTTAGAGTTAGGAGCAGAAATGGGGACAGCAAAATTCATGCTAGTTAGTTTTCTGCCAACTCAGGTATGGATAATTCAGTGATGGGTAAGTCCCTAAGGGGGCACAATGTCCAGGGAGCCTGGGTGCCCGATTCCATGGCTGCCGTGCCCACCCAGCCAGTTGTGGGAGGACAGGAGTGATCCAGATCCGCTTTGCTTCAGGCTTCAGGCTCCAGCTTCCTCTGCTTCTGCCCTCTTCCGGGCTGCAGAATCTGGAGGCAGGCATGCCCGTCTCCTTAGTTGCTGCGGCAGACGCGCAGGCGAGCTCTCTGTGGGGCACCCCTGAGGGGCCGTTGACAAGCCAGACCTGGTGCACAACCACAACGCTGGAAGATTTCAGGGCCTGGAGCCCCACCATCCTTCTGCCCTCGCCTGGAACACACCGCCCCTTCGATGAGAACAGGCTTGCAGATCTTTGCCCAGAAGTGGCGGGCACAGCAGTGCCCTTGGGCGCAGTCGGAGGTGCGGAGGCAGTGCTCTCCTGCGCCTGCTGTGAGAAGCAGAACAGCGATCAGTCCTTCCACGGGGAAGCCCTGGCTCCGGGGGCTGCATAGCTGGGTGACAATGAGGTTGAGTGGGGCCAGCGGTGGGTTCAGCTGGGCATAGTGAGGCCTGGAGCACAGCCACTTCAGCAGGCAGGCATCCCCTCCTTGCAGGTGGGCAAGGCAGCAGAGGGCCCCCCTTGCACACTCTGCCTTAATGGTGGGGAGTTCTTAAGAGCAGCTACTTGAAGTAGCTACGAGCTGAACTCAGACCGGGGGGCTACCAGGTGACATGGGCCAGTCTACCTTGCCGGGGAGTGGTTGCGAGAGGGAAGTTTGCTCCACCACTTGCAGCTCCTGGAAGAAGCTGGTGTCTCTGTCAAACGCACGATGGGGTTCACTGCCCCACCACTTGGCCTGCCACTTACTCGTGGATTTGGAAAGGGTATCTCCTACTGAACATCCATTTGGACCATTGCCTTGGTGGGCTGCTAGTGGTCCCTGCGGGGGGGGGGCAAAGAGTTGTTTCTGCATCACATGAGAAAAAGGGCTGCTTGCTCAGCAGGTATTTCCCCCCTCCGCAACGTGCCGGTTATTTCCCATACTGCCAGTGCAAAAGCTCGTTTGCTTTGCTCCTAGTGCAGGGTAAGCGGCATTTGGGAGGCCGAGGGTGGCGGCTCTGCCTCCCCGCCTCCCAGGGGGCCGAAGGAGGCCTTCCAGGCATGTGATGATGCAAAACATTTCTAGCCCACTTTTTGTCTTTTTTGAGGTTTTAAGAGTGGCCTCTGAGACCCAAACAGCTATCATTTCCACCCAAAGTGCCGTGTCCAAGCCTGGAGAGGAAACAACGGTGGGGGCCTCCTGCTCTTATTCCGCCATCCCAATCTTGAAGAAACGCTTTAAAGGAACCAAAACAGTTGTGTCCCAGCTGAACCTGGCTGCTTTCCCAAAGCTAAGCAGCATATCCGGTTGACCCCTGGCCGTCTGGGGCGCTGCCTGGAAACTCAGGCCAAGCATTCCCCCAGATCTCGGCCGAGACACGTCCACGAAGCCACCAGGAGCTGCACCTTAGGAGACCACGCGCTTCAAATCAATCTCTCCAACAGCAGCCGAGGAAGGAAAGGTTTCTTTAAGATGGAATTTGGAGGAAGGAAAAGCCTTTACTTGTTGGGATTTGTATTGGAAGCACGTGCAAGAGAAAGAGCTTGTGGGGAACAGTCAGGCGAGAATCTTTTCCGTCCTTCTCTTGGCCGGGTTGCCAAAGGGGCAAACTCGGGGGGCTGAGATTTCCTCAGGGTCACTCTCACTTGCATCTTAGGAAGGTTTCTCTAAAGCTAAGTTTGGTTTATGCAATTCCCACCTCACCTTTTTAACAAACCACACAGCTCGCTCAGCAGCTCTGGAAACAGCCCAAAAGAGAGTGAGTCCAGATCAGCCCTGGGACTGCCGGCAGCCCAAGCCCTACGTTAGGCCGTGACAGAGACCCGCCACTGCTGGCTGCAGGGTCTCTCCCTCTCTCTCCCTCTCCCTCCCTCCCTCTCTCTCGCAACGACATCCCACCTTCGGGGGTGCAGACATACTGCTCGGATGGGCTCTCACCCCAACATTAGTTGTCCCTTCAAGAGCTGGGCTGCCTTTCAGGGACAGAGGGCTGGTGCACGCAAGCCGCTCTGGGGTAGGAAGAGCAGTGCCGGCAGCACCTCGGGGGCTTCTCTGGGGTGCCGCTGGCCAGCAGGTCATGCCCATTCAGGCACTACTAGGTCTGGGTTGCAAAACTCCAGGCAACCCCAGGTGAGAGTGGAGAGTTATGGCTTCTGCCCCATGGGAGCCGCCCTGGTCAAGATGCCCAAAGGCTTGTCTGCTGCACCTGCCCATCTACCGCCCTACCCTGCCCAGCGTCACACCATCCTAGCAAAGGCCTTGGTTCCTCCCTGGGCCCTGTCAGTCTGCAACAGGCCACATCCCAGGACATGTTTCTAAGGAATGAAGGCCTGGCTGGGGACTCTGTGCCTATAGGCCCCAAGGTGGGCAGCGCCCCTGCTGTGACTACATTTAGGGCATTGCGCACTTTCCCTCTCAAGAGCTCAAGCAATATAAGTGGGGGGCCCCTATTTCATCATCACAACCACCTGTGAGGAAGATTGGGCTGAAAGTCTATGGCTCACCCAAGGACCTCCATGGTTAAAGGAAATCTTGAAATTGGCCCCTTCCCATCTAGTCTGGCATCTTAATCAAACCTCCACATTAGCTGTTTATAGCTTTATGTCCATGTCATGCCCTGCGGTGTTATCTGGCTAAAGCCCTCTATCGCCACCACCTTTGAGTCTGCAACCAAAAGGGATTATCTCAACTGTCACATTAATCAAAATTTAATGCATTTGGGCAACATATGGGTCCTCATTGCCAAATTATGGATTTTGCGTTCATCACTCCTCTCCCAGCTTGGACTTACTGTTCCTGGATTATTTTAAGTTTAAAAATCTGAAACATATCTAAAATTCCCTATTCAATGATTGATCTTTAAAGAAAAGGCTGCCCTTCTGGCTTCCCTTTTCATTCCAGATGTGCTGAGGGTTCCTGCTCCTGCTCTTACCTGGGCTGCGTGGCCTGGGGCCGGCTCCCTCCTTCCGGACATGGCCTGCTTGAGCTGGGTGTGGCAGCCGTTCCTTGGCACTCAAGTCAGCCTGCTCCCCATCTCTCTGCTCCTCGGCCAAAGGCATCCTTTCAACCTGGGCACACACATCTGGCATCAAAAAGAGCCATGGGTTACAATTTTCCAAAGCAACTGAGTTCTTCCCTGGCCCACCTACTCCTTCAAGTTGGCCCTGACACAGGAGAGAGGGGGAGAGCGTAACAGGAGAGGGAGGAGGGGTTTCTTTTGGCCACCTCCCTGAACCCACCACCGCCACCCACAACATTCATCCCCAGCCTGTTTATGCAGAGATTCATAATACGAGCGGCACATGGATGTCCGTGACCTTGGTCCTTTCAGTGTTCTGAAACGGGTTAGAAGAATTCCCCTCTCCCATTTTACCTTGCCCTAGCACAGCATAATATTTTTCATCAAAGGCCAGTTGGTCAACACTTGGACAGGATAAAGGCCTGCAACTTATTCCAGATGGCTCATTTTAACTGTAGGCTGGTGATCTCAGATGGGTTGGAATCACAACCCCACCCAGCCCACAGTATGGATCACAGGTAGACTCTGCAGGAGAGATCAGACTTTGCCCAGCTAGGAAACAAGTGGTGGACCCCCAGCCCAGCCTAACCCTCCCCTTCTAGCCTTGAGGAAAGTTCCTGGAGGGGCTGCTGTTGCTAAAACTTACCATTTATGCAGATCATCCCTGGGCAACACATTGCATTTCCCTGGCACCTTCTTCGTAAGCCCAGGCAAGGAGCACAGAAGGGCAGCTCCTCTTGAGGCTTGTGACAGTATTTCCCCGACAGGCAATCTTTGTCGGTCAAGCACTGTGCGCTCTGTAGAAAGGGAGGGAGGGAGGGAGAGAAGACTGCATGATCAGAAGCCCCAGGTCCAGAGAGAAAGAGAACCAGCAAGAAGCAAGACCCAGAGGTGCCAAGTCTTAATTCAAGAGCTTTGCTGGGAAGTGAGGCAGAGGGCTGATCACTGCAGTCTAAATTGGGGGACAGGGGACAGACCAGGGAATCCAAGCTAGTCGCTAATTGGAGGGTGGGTGTTAGAGGAATTATGGTGCATTGGAATCGCTTTCAAGTAATGCTGAACCGCTCTGCTTGGGTTTGGCCCAGGGTGGGGGTTTAAAAGAGAGGCCCACGGGAGATTCCTTCATCCTGGTGAGAAACTTCTGCAGAGAAAAGGAAGGAAAAGGGCAGACCCATACCAGGAGGGGCTGGGATGCAGCCCTTTAAATTTCCTTCCCCCGCCCCCCCATGATTCAAGTTAAATGGTGTGGTCCAGGCTGGCTCAAACAGACATGCCCCTCCATGTGTTGGTTGTCCCCTCCCCCGCCAAAATAGGGCTACTTAGGCAAGAGGAGGGGTTTTTGCCATGTTGCTATTATTCCAAAAGATACCCAGAATCAGGAGGGCGGTTTGTCCACGGACTAAACTCCCCCATTACTCACAATTTTTGCTTGGGAACCCATATTGTTTAGCTACAGGAGAATAAGCTGCATTGTTCACTGACCAAATCCCCAGCAGACAGAAAGAGGGGGAGAGAAATTAAGGACATTGTATACAAGCAAACACCCAACCTGAGAATCAGCTAAGTTGGTGCCTGATCCTGGATGCAAATCCAGAACAATATGAAATGGGTTACATGCATTTCAGATTCAGAAGTCATTGGCGATACACTTAGTGGTACCAGAATCTAGCCAAAGTAAGACTTTCTACTAAGCGTAGCTTCCTCATTCTGCAAGTATTCTTTGCAAATAGCTCCCACAAGAACTCTCACCTTCCTGGAGCTGGACACTTCAGATGAGCCCCTGATGGTGTTGAAGTCAAGAACCAGCGCAGTCAACGGGGAGCAGAGGCAAGTGAGCCCCAGAAGGAAGGTAGCCTCCATCTTCTGTCCTGCAGGACGTTGATGATCCCTGGAGCTGGTCCCTGGAGCAACCCTCAGCCCTTGGTTTCCTGGCTAAAACATCACTTAATGATACATTTAGAGAGCATTTGGGCCACGTGCTTGATTGCTGTCAGACTGATGCTCTGCTTGTGAGAGATGGAGGAGTTAACCTGCCTCTCAGGCCATACCACCACCTTATTTATAGTGACCTGCTTCACTTTTTCTTCCTCTTTGGACCCCCCAGTCTCTGAAAATCCCTTTGATCACTACTTCAAAACAAATATTCAAAGGGATCTAGGAGGGAAGCAGGCCAGCAGAGGCCAGCTCCTCCTCTCGCCAACAATTCCTAATTACAGCATATCAAAGTCAGTTCAAAGGGCCAGAAAAAGAGACGGATGTAGGTATCAAAGGCACCTGTTGGTAATCACCTGTATTTCCTGGTCTTTGTAATCCCTTTGCAAAAGTGGTTTTGTTCTGAGATCTGCTTTCACAGCTGACAGATGATTCACTTGACCACACTGCAGTGGGAAGGAAGAGAGCGGCAACGTGGTGCATTTGCAGCTCTAAGCAGCTGCGCAGAAACACCTGCTGCAGCCACGCGGGGCCTACTTTGAAGGAAGCTCTCCTTCCTCTTGCCACTGAGGCGGCTATTGTTTTCAAGAATTAAGAAGACACTTCCTGAGTCTTTCTGGCCTTAATACCCGCCAAATCCCATGTGACACAGAGAAACTCTACATCACACATTGAAATAAAACCATTTGACCTACAAAATGGTGAACTGTCTCCTGCTCTAGTTTCACCCATGCTGTGTCACAAGTGGTCACCCTCTTCTCCCCCAATATTTGAAATAAGGAGAACAACAAGGACCCAGTATCACCTTCCCATCCTGTGGCAGGTTCACACCCATTCTAAAAAGTCAGTTCTCCATTCAGACAAGGTATCTCCTTCCAGCAATGCATTTCCTTGGTGTGTGAATGTGTCTGTGGAGAGGTGGTCTGCAGAGCAGTTGAACTGCTTCCTATTGTTCTCCTCAAGGGAGCTTGTTTTTCATCCTTATTTGGTTGATGTTCTGCCCACCACCTTTGCCTCCATGTCACTTCAGGCCCTCTAAACAAACCTCCATGTATATTAACACTATGACCAATCGACCTCACATCTTCTTAATTCCTAAAATCCCCCAGTGCTTAGTGTAGTCCGAATGCTACCTAATTCAAAGACACCCAAGAGTTCTCTGCTTATACCATCACATCTACCCATTAGGGAGATGTGATGGCAAAGCTGTCTACATCAGGGAACTTACAAACTCTTTTTACCCTGTCATTCTTGTTTTATTGCAATTGACCCATCATTTCATCTCTGCAACCACCACCTGCTTGAACTGAAAGGATCTTCATCTGTATTTCCACTATATCTCTAAGCTGAATGTCTTCAGCTTGAACTTGCTGCACACAGTATTTTGGACAGGAAGAAAACACTGGAGTGACATGAGTGAGAAGTATCAGGTTCCAGAGCAGTATTCTCACCATGGCAGAATAATCGTGCCACATTTTCCAGGCCCAGGACAGCCCTTGACCTCCAAGTAATTTTCCAGCCTCACCTCTTCAAAAGTTCTAGGTAGGGCAAAAATCTCATCTCACTTACATATAAAACTTGAATATAGTTCATATGATTACTCTCCAGTCATGCTATTTAATAATTTCCTCTTCTGTCACATTAATTAGGAATTCTGGAAGTCTCTAGGGGCTGGGGCTGGGGTCTGTAGTTTGGAGCTACAAGCTTTTGGGGAGGCAGGGGCTGGAAAGAGGGAGAAAGACACGGGTTCCTGTGACCAACATTGTCTGTGCCTTGGGGTGTGAGGAAGGGTCAGTTGCCAATTTTATATTAGCAGCTTCTAATTGGCCTCGGGGGCTATTCCATCTCTTCCAGGGCAACATTTATCTCCCACTTATGCCCTCACTCAACCCTCTTCACTTGGTTACTCTATCACAGCCCCAGAAATTAAAGAATTCCTAAGATAATTAATTTAATTTATGTATTAATCATTTTTAAAAGAAGAAGAGGAGAAAAAGAGTGAATGACCAAGCAAAAGGAGAAAAAGAGAAAAGAGAAAAAAATATAATATCAGTAAATGGACAAAGGAATTACCAAGATTGTATAGTTTGTGCTCAGTTGATGAGAAATTAACCATAAAAAACACATTAAATTATTGTAACTATATAAAAAAGGATTTGAATCTGAGTTGTGTCACTGTTATTTAAGAATACAGAAAAAGAAGAAAAACTGCTAGATGCATTGTAGATACATATTCATTTCTAACTTCCCCTTTGTTGTACTCCAACTGATGTATAATATTTATACATTTAAAGGTTGGGGGTGTTTATATCAATGGCACTTCTTTTTCCCCTTAAAAACCATATTCTAAATACTTATATTTGCCTTGCTGCATAATATGTATGGAGGCCACTCTTGCTTAAATTTGGTTAAACTTCTGTTGTGAATATATGCTATTAATTTTGCCCTTATAGGTAGTCCTTCTTTAAGGACCACTCGCTCAGCAACCGTTTGAAGTTACAATGGCGCTGAACGAGGGGGACCTACGACCAGTCCTCAAAGTTCCAGCCGTCACACCACCCCTGTGGTCACGTGATCGTGATCTGGGCACTTGGCAACTGGCTCGCACATATGGCGGTTGCAGTGGTCATATGATCATCATTTGCGACCTTCTCTGCCAGCTTCCCACAAGCAAGCCAATGGGGAGGCTGGCAGGGAAGGTTGCGAGTCGCTCCAGTAAGTCGCTCACAACCTCCCCCCACCCCCATTTTAATGCCCACAGAGAAAAAAAAGAGCAGAGTTTGCCAGCTCTGGCAAGGAAGGGGATCTAGTGAAATGATAAGAGTTGAGCAGCTCTATAGCCCAGTGAGTGGTATCAGGGGACAAATCCAAAATATTTGCAGTTGGAAGTAGGGTTGAGGAAGCTTTAGCCTGTGGAATTACATGAACGTATCATCTTTTTCATCCACACTAACTGCCAAGAAGTCTGATGATAACTGCTAAGCATTTAAAATAGCCTGGGGACTGCCTGAGATAAGTCCTTGTTATTGTGATGGGAGGACTGCTGGAGAAGTCCCCCAGAATATTAGGTTAAATGTAAACCAGCATCAGGCGTCTTTGCCTTCCTCACAGAAGTTCATTAGAAACATCAAATGGAGTTAAAGGTTTCAATTTCCAACACTGAGGCTAAAAAGATTAAAGGAGTGGTGATCAGCAAGAAATTCCATACATACATTTAAAACACATAAAATGCATGAGATATCATCAGTATTTGTAATTGTTGCACACATCCTGGGAAGAAAAATGTATTTGGTCCAGATCTTCAAATTGGTTTATACGTGATGTGTAAAGATGTGGCATATTGTGCACCCTATTGGGCAGTGCCATCATGGACCCTTGGCATTTTCTCTTATGAGGCACACACGGCAGTCTGGCTTTCAATGAGATGTCTGAAGGGATGATGCTGGACAGGTCGCTTTTCTCATGTATGACAAACTGTATAATTTTTAAATAGTGTCAAGAACCTGACACTTAATAGTAGCATTGCATAAAGACCTGCATCTCCTCTTCTTCCTTCTGTGCCAAGAGACATTACTGGGGCCAAATATGGGTGTGTCAGGCTTAATGGCAAGATCTTGGGATAATTTCTTGATATGGTGCAGTTGGATTAGACTCCAGGCTTATATTCAGCTTAAGCCTCTCGGACGCACAACATGGCACAGCTGGTAACAATCTTTACCTGTATGCTAGGAAGAAGTCCCTGAAAGAATTGATTGTTCTCTGTCAACATGAAGGTGCAATTGGTTGTTGACGTGACGGCATCTCTGGCTCTCAGCTTAGCTCCCCTTCTGCCTTTTAATGGGAAAGGAGGAATATCGAGGACATCACTGCATTGTCCAACCCTCCACTGTGACCCCAAAGGCGATTCATGCCTGGGAGAAGTGGCCAGGGTCAACTTTGGGAATTTGGGAATTCAAATGATGAATGTCACTGGCTTCCTGTGTCCATGTTTCTTCAATATTTATCTTCATAAAGAACCAGATAGTTATTATTTATTTAAGACTGTTTTTATATTGCATTTTAATTGATTTTATATCTTCTGTAAACTGCCCAGTCGCTTTTTAACGAAATGGGCAGTGACAAATTTGACTGACATACATACATACATACAAATAAATAAATAAATAAATCTTAACAGCTAAAACAAGCCCTATGAAATAAGACTTGGGACATTCTTTAACTTTTTGGATTGGGACAGACACGGGGGCTCATCTTACTTGCTTGCAACCACAATGTAAATGGGCTCTGGTGACCTCTTTTTTTCTGGCATGTCTTCATAATGTCTTTGTCTCATTCCCAGCCCGTTTCTGAAGCAGCCCGGTCATCCTCTGATTAATAGGAATGGGTTCCCTCTTCTCCTGACACAATTTTGCTTCACTGACATCTGACTGTTGATGTGGTCAACTCCTGGGGGTAACTTTAGGCTGCTGCGATATGTCCCACCCCTTCTGGTCACTTATTGCTACCCACCATTTTGGCTTATGTTGCAGAAGAGATTGGACACCTGGTTTCCACTTCCCATGTCATGTCTGACCAACACTTTCTGCCGTTATTGTCTTTTGAAAGACCACCAGGCCTACGTTTTAAACATGGGTTTAGCCCTCTATTAAAGGAGTGTAGTCCTTTGCTGAAAGGTTGGTTTAACAGGAAGAGAGGCCCAGCGCCAAACCCTTAGCAGCTGCTTACAGTCAAACAGCTAGTTTCTCACAATCTTTTTGACCAGATTTATTGAAAGGGAAAAGGGTTGCAGAAATTTTGGCAACTGGATGTGTTTACTTTAGGACCAAATTTCCTCCTGATTCCCCAACGCTCCTGTGGTGGACTTACAACTCAGCCTTGTGCTGGTACTGAATCACCCAACACATCACAGCTTGGCTGGTTTCAGGTTTCCTCCTTGGAAGCACCCAAGTGCTTCGGTGGGGGGGGGGGGGGGGGAGAAGCCCTTCATCTTCAGGATTCAGGCAAGGGTCAACCCTG